GCCTCCCTGGTGCTGGGATTACAGGTGTGCTCCACCACACATGGTCTTGGTGGCGGGGTGGAGCTGGCACTCCATGGGGTACCAGGGATCGAACCCTGGTCCTTGTGCTTGCCCAGGCAGGTGCTGAGACCGCTGAGCGCTCTGTGGCTTTTTTTTTTTTTTTTTTTTTAAAGTCTCACTATGTATTTCAGTCTAGTCTTGAACTCACTATGCAGCCCAGGCTGGCCTCAAACTCATGGCTGTCCTCCTGGCTCTTCTTTGGGAGTGCTGGGATTACAGGAATGCACCACCATGCCCAACTTAATCTTTCCTATTTTTAACCTCCATTGTTCCTTGAAATTCATTCTTGAATTTAGAGAACATAAACTCAGCACATCTGGGGTCTAGCATGTTGGGATTCATCCTTCTCCTCTATCAGTAGCAAAATCCCTTAAACACACAAGCATTCAGTCAGCTAAATCTTATATTGTACAAGAGTTCATACACATGATCTATGCAGATTGAAATATATAGGGGCTGGGGAGATGGCTCAGTAGAATAAGCACTTGCCTGGCAAGTACAAGGGCCTGAGTGCAATTCCCAGTTCCGCCAAAAAAAAGAGAAATATATAGTATATAGTATATGTTGAAAATTTTATTACAGTAAAAGAATTACTGCCAGGGCCAGCCAGATAGCTCAGAGGACTAAAGTGCCTACTTAGGCAGATGCAGGGACGGGGGTTCAATCCCCAGTGCTATGCTGGCCCCACCTCGGGGCGCACTGAGAGTGACTGAGACTAGGTGTGGTGGCACATCTGTAATCCCAGTGCTTGGGATGCTGAAAACAGGAGGATCACTTGCAGTCCAATCTGTGTAGTGAGACCCTGTACTAAATACAGTTTTTTTTTTTTTTTTTTAAGACATTGCTAGTAATCCCATTGCTCTTATCCCATCATTTTTGCTAGTTTCTGGAGCAGTTCTGAAGTCCTCTTTCGTGGGCATGTTCAGTTGCCTGTGGTGGCTATCTCCATGTCCTGCAGTGCTTCAAAATGTTTGCATTATGATTGTTTTGACTTTGGGAATCAACCAGAAAATCATAGTGCCACTGGATCCAGTGAATGATGTAAATTGAGATGGCAGAATGTTTCAGTGAGCCTGGCTTTCTGATCTGACCCCTCCATGGGACTCTGGTTCCGTGCCAGTTCCTCCAGGGGCCAAAAAAGTTCAAAGACTCCACTGCCTGATGGGTGCAGAGCCCAGCTCCTCACTGCCAGGAACCAAACCTCAGACCAACCCTTCAATCCCACCCCAAAACTGAATGTGTAAAGCCCAAGGACCCTCAGAGCATGAGCTCTTCCCACCCACTCACTCCTGCCCTGTGGAGTTGATGTTGTTTCAGGTAAATCTTGGATCTTAGTGTTCCTTTTGGGTTCCAGTCAATTCTTAGTTGGGGATAGCAAGAACCTGGACAAGTCACCTGATCAGGTAACATTTTCTTGGCAAGCAGGCCAAGAGGAAAGACCCTTTTTAAAAAAAAATTTATTTATTTATTTATTTTTTTTGGTAGGACAGTTTCAATAATTAACATGTTGCATACATTCTTCCTAGTGGTTAATTGCTGTACAAGATGTGGACTTGATATCCTATTTACAAACACCATTAGAACAAATCCTCTATTCATTAAGAGAATGTAACTATATATCTATCCTAACAGAAAGACCCTTTTTGGAAAAAATTTTTCTTCTCTTGTTCTGTCTCTGTCTGTTTTGAGATAAGCTCTTATGTTGTACAAACTGGAATGAACTCCCTAGGTAGTCCACACTGGACTCAAACTCAAGGCAACCCTCCTCCTTCAGTCTCCTGAATACTAGGATTACAGGTGTGTGCCACCACCCCGTTTGTCTTTTCTCTCCTGGTTGTTTCTTGTTACTCACGAAGGCACAGACTGGATAGTTAAAAACCTGTCCACTGTTTGAAGACTCTCACGACAGAGTGATTCAGTTGTGGAACGGGAAGCATTTTGGGCTCTGCTGGGCACAAGAGCACTTCCACACCGCACGCAGGTCTGTATCGTGTGTGAGCTGATGTTTAGTATCTTCTCCTTGTTACCATGGCTTCCGCCCATCACAACTATTCAGGCAGGTGGCAGACCTATGCTGGTATCTAGCATCTCTCACTTTCTGCCTTCACGGATACTTTGTTTCCACAGTGTCCCTTGTGCTACCTTCCTTGGGGCTCCAGTTTCTATCTAGATAATTGTAGGCCCTTTTTTTTTTTTTTTTTTTTTTTAAGTGATAGGTCATCTCATTTTCTGTTGATTCCCATATCTGAGGCAGCTCAGACCTAGTTCACCCTCAAGGTCAACATGAATACCACAAGACATCTTTGGAAAAGGCTACCCCCTGCTATAAAATATGCAGATTCTGAACTTGGAGGGATGTGGGCAGTAGGTCAGAAGATCTGGAAGAGAGATTTCCCTGGGATCTACGTGACTCACTGCCCACCAGTGGTCTGAGCCGGTGCAGCCAATCATGGAAGTGCTCAGGGAAGTGACATGCAGCGCCTCTCAGGCGTACACCTCCATCGTAGCCGATGACTTTGGGGCCTCTGTTGGACTTCCTGTAGAAGAGGCTGTGGAAGCTAGCTTAGAACAAGGATGACAAGCAGACTCCACAAGAATGTTTCTACACAGAAAGCCAGCAGCAGATGCCCTGGATGATTTCTTTAATAGATTATTCCTATCAGAGCCTGCCTCAGTTCTGCCAACCTCCAAGAAGTAGCAGTTAGCTAGGCTGACTGATTATGTGGTCTTCCTTGAAAACAGACTTAGCAAGTTAAGAACCCCTTCAGAATCCTGTATGCTGACAAGAGAAATGTAAAATTTTTATTTTCAATTTACTGAATGAAGCACCTCAGCATTCCTTACGGAATGTGAACAAATGAATATATAATATAAAGTATGTTATACATATTACCCTTAAACATCACGCTGAGTAGTTGAGGCAATTCTCATTTCATAGTATGTAACGATTTGGCACTGTCAATATTACACAGGTAGTTCACATTCCCTGGTGACTTAGGAATAAGCTCTCCTGCCCAGCGCATGCCGTGCACTACTGCTCACGCCCAGGTGGCCAGTGGTGGTGCTGCCCCTGGAGCTGGCAGAGGACTGTCCCCATCGCAGTACCTGAACTGTTGGGTGTGTGATCCACTCTTGGGAAAACAGGCTGTCCTGAGAACTGCTAAGGCAGAGTACGAAAACACAGCTGTAGAACAAATGGATCTTTCCTGAGTGAGCCAGTTTGTTACTGTTACATTTTTTTCCAATCCTGGCCCAGTGAGATAGCACAGCAGACTAAGTGCTTGCTTAGGCAAGCACAGAGACCGGGATTTGATCCCTGGCACCCCTCCCTGGTGGCCCTCACAGAGCTTTACTTAGATATGTTAACTGTAGCATAGGGAGATCTCTGCATGGCTGTGGAAGAACAATGCTGTTACTATAGAAATGAAGTAGGCGCTGTCCAACAAGCTGTCCATATCTTCAGAAATCCCAATTATGGGAACAGGGGCCAAAGAGTTGGCTCTCCTCGCTACCACTCTTCTGTGGCTCACTAGCAACAATGTTTTTTTGTTTTTGTTTTTTTTTTGGTGTGGAACTGGGGACTGAACTCAGGCCCTTGTGCTTGCCAGGGAAGCGCTTATTCTACTGAGCCATTTCCTGGCCCAAGCAACAATTTTTCTCTTATGTTTAGAATCTTTTTTTTTTTTTGGGTGGTACTAGGGATTGAACTCAAGACCCTGCACTTGCCAGACAAGCACTTACTCCACTGAGCTATCTCCCTGGCCTTATGTTTAGAACCTATCTACCCAATTGTTCACAAAATTTCTCTTCCAAGAGTCAACAGTTTCACCTATATGATGGTTTGATAAGGATTCTAAGCTCTCTGAACTACTGAAGACCCCAACTATTCCCCTTCTACTTAGCCTTCACAGTGTCTCAATCTTTCTACCTTCCCGCCACCTCCAGTTCACCCAGGACCTCAGCTGCCACCCAGACTGTGGCGCCATGCTCAAGTACATTCCAAATCGTCACATCCTGAGAGCCACCCACTCACTTTTGCCCTAAAGTCACGTAAGAGTTCCATAATCCCCCAAAGGCAAGAACTATAGCCACTCTCAGCTGCAAGCAGTTGCAGAAGAGACCACCATGCTCATACTCTACAGATTTATCAGGATCATATCTCTGGAGAAAGTTGATAGAGAGGTGGCTAAGGATTCAGAGCTTTAAATTTGGGCTATGAAAGAAAAACAGTATTTACTTACTTTTTGGTGGAACCAGGGATTCAACTCAGGCCCTTGCACTTGCCAGGCGAGTGCTTATTCTACTGAGCCCTCTCCCAGGCCCTGCTTACTTACTTATTAATGGGGACTGAATCTACAGCTGGCCCTCTGGGGGAAAATATTTTGGGCTTTCTTGAGTCAGGGTTTTACTCAGTATGTAGTCCAGGCTCTCCTTGCCTCAGCTCTTTGAGTGACTCCCCAAATTTCTTTTCTGGAGACATGACCTTGCTAAGTTGTGCAGCCTACTCTCGAATTCCTGTGCTCAAGGGACCCTCTTGCCCCAGCCACCCAAACAGCTAATACAGGTGCTGGCTGAATGCAAGTCTTAATTTGATACGACAAAGTGTAAACTTTAGGACCTTTCTAAACCCACATTCTGCAAGACAGCCCAAGTTAATGAGGACAGTCTCCCGCAAGGCTAGTGGCCCAAGACGGCACTAGTACCTCACTGGCATTCTTCTCTCCACCCTGCCTTCAGCATGATGATGAAGCATTCCCATAATCTATACTCTTGTTCTTCATTAAAAAAAAATCTTTTATTTATTTGGTGCTGGGTCTTGCTACCCAGTTCAGATCCGTAGTGACGGTCAGGTCTCAGCCTCTCTGACGCTGGGATTACAGGTGTGTGGCACCACACCGAGTTTCCATGGCCAGTACAGTATGCTTGGGGTTCTAGGGAATCAGACCCAGGTCCTTGAGCCTGCCAAGCAGCTGCTTAGATCGCCGAGCTACCTCCTCAGCCCCTCTTGTTCTTCTTTTAAGAATTCCACACAACATTGTTGGTCTGGTTTAAACTTTTCTTTCATAACCAGATAAGACTATTTTTTCCCATACAAATTTTCTATGTTCTTATTTACTTTCAAACACTACAAACACATTAATATTAAAACATGAAATGTTAGGAATAAAAAAATAATGTGGGGTCCAAAAACCACAGTATGAGGTAGCTGACAGCATGGGCTGCATATCAGCCCCAAACCTTCTCAGCAGCAAGCTTACGTGGCAACAGGTAGACACTGCCGGGCCCCTCGAGGCTCAGGATCATGGGCTCCAGGCAGGTCTCAACAGCACGCTGACCCGACACAAGACACAGTGTCCCAAGGGAAGCCCAGTGGTCCTCTCCAAGCGGCTCAGTGATGTTTGGAGACTAATACTGAAAACTACGCTTTGTCTGGATGTCATCCAGAATCTGCTGCAGCTCCTCATCTTCAAATCGCCCCTCTAGGCTGTAAAGAAAGAGTGATGTAACAATCAGCATTCTTTTCATAACTTTGTTTTCCCTAAATATAGCTTCAGATTGAGTGCAGAGATTACAAGCATGTCCTATGACACCGTCTTATGGCTTGTGTCTAGATGTCCCCTCAAAGTCCCTTGTGGTCAGTTTTTATATAGGTGGCTGAATCTATGGGTGACTGACTCATAGTGCACTGCTGGGATTAAGGCTGGATGACTGTGAATCAGTTTGTGGACTGGTTTGGCAGCACCCTAATCCCAGCACTGGATAAAAGGGCAGAAAGAGGTCTGTCTCGCTTTCTCTCCTTCCCCTCCCTCACCACTATCCTTTGCTTCACTACCTTCCAGACAACATGAAAATCCCCTTTTGCTTTTACTGTCTTCCATCGCCATGGACTGTTGCCTCTCTACCATGCCTCCCCGCCTTGCAGGCAGCGTATTATGGACTAAAACCTCTACAACTATAAGCTAAATAAACTCTTCCCCCTTTAACTGTGGGTGTCAGGTATTTTGTTTCAACAAGGAGACAGAAGTATCTAAGACACCCAACTTTTTGAGGCATGTTCCTATCTGAGCACCACTTACCCACTTAACCTCTACCTTTACTTCTTTTGTTTTTTGAGACAGAGTCTCACGTAGTTCAGGTTGGCCTGGAATTTGTGGCAATCCTCTTGCCTTACTCAGCCTGCCAAGTGCTGGGATTACGAACATGCACCAGCATGCTCTGCTACCTTTTCCTTTTAAGTATACAAATCCCTTTTCTCTTATAAAAAATTTTAAACATATAAAAGATAGCACTCTAACACATCACTCCCTTTTTATTAATTAATTTTTTTTTTTTTTTTTTTTGCGGAACCGGGGATTGAACTCAGATCCTTGAACTCCCTTTTTATTTTGAGACAAAGCCTTGCTAAATCGCTCAGGCTGACCCTTCCTCTACCACTCAGGTAAGCACGATTATAGGCATATGCCACCACACATGGCTCCACACATGCTCTTTGTGCTGAATGCAACTACACTGCATGTATCCATCGTACGCACAACTTATGTCCTTTAACTCTGTCTTCAAACTGTTTTCATTTTTGCAGTGCTGGGGACTCAACGCAGGGCCTTGAACTGAGGTACATCCCCAGCCCATCTCCTTTTTCTTTTTTTTTTTTTTTTTATTTATTTATTTTTTATTTATTACATTTATTTGTGTGTGTGTGTGTATGTGTGTGGCCAGCTCAGCCCACCAGGGGGCGGGGCTGGCTGGCATGTGGTGCTGGGGGATCGAACCAAGGTTCCTGTGCTTTGCCAAGCTTGTTTCAACTAGGTGCTTTAGACCACTGAGCCATCTCTCCAGCCCCTCATTTTTCTTTTTGAGACAGGCTCTCAGTATGTAATAGTCCACACTGATCTCAAAGTCAAGTGAGTCTCCTGTCTCAGTCTCTGGAGTGCTGGGATTACAGGCATGCACCACGATACCAGCTTTTATTTTTTTACTCTGAGACAGGTTCTCACAATATTGCCCAAGCAGGGCTCACACTTGGTGTCCTCCTGCTTCAGCTAGAATGCTGAGCTTACAGGAGTGAGCCACCCACCCAGCTGCTTGTACCATTGTGTCTCTGGCATGGAGACGGACTCCAAGGCGTCACTCATACGAGGGAAGTGCTCCACCAGTGAGCTACACCACCAGTACTGTTTTATTATAATTTTTGATGCTGGGAATGGAACTAGGGCATATTAAAAACCCACTCTAGGGGGCCGGGGAGATGGCTCAGTAGAATAAGTGCTTGCCTGGCAAGCACAAGGGGCTGAGTTCAATCCCCAGTTCCAAGAAAAAAAAAAAAACAAAGACAAAAACAAACGGCAGGGCCGGGGAGATGGCTCAGTGGAATAAGTGCTTCCCTGGCGAGCACAAGGGCCCGAGTTCAATCCCCGGTTCTGCCAAAAAAACCCCCGAAAAACCAAAAACAAAACAAAAACAAAAACAAAACACTCTAAGGGCCAGCCAGATAGCTCAGCGGATTAAAGCACCCGCTCAGGCAGAGTGCAGTAGCCAGGGTTTGATCCCCGGCACACTGTGCCCGCCCCATCGGCAAGACAGTGATTGAGACTGGGCATGGTGGCACCCGTGCCTGTAATCCCAGCACTTGGAAAGCTGCAAACAGGAGAATCACTATGAGTCTGATCTGTGTACTGAGACCTGTAGAACCCTGCATTAAATACAAAAAAACAAAATAAACACTCTACTCCTGAGCTTTAGCCCCACTTTTAAATTTTGTTAAGAAATGTCATCATACTGTATATACACCCTTACAATTTTTTCTCTTAGAATACATTTCTACTTTTTTTTTGTATCAGAAATTGAACTCAGGGGGCTGGAGAGATGGCTCAGTGGTCTAAAGCACCTACTTAGAACAAGCTTAGCAAAGCATCAGGGACCGCGGTTCAATCCCCCAGCACCACATGCCAGCCAGCCCCGCCCCCTGGTGGGCTGAGCTGGCCACACACACACACACCACACACTCTCTCTCTTTCTCTCTCTCTCTCTCTCTAATAAATAAATAAATAAATAAATAAAATTTAAGAAATTGAACTCAGGACCCTGCGCTTGCCAGACAGGCCCCTGTGCTGCTGAGCTATAACACTGGCCTTATTTTTGCATTTGTTAATATTATTCATAAATATATATATATATATATATATATATATATATATATTTCAGTTCAATACTTTTTTATTACTGCAAAACAAACACTGTAGACAATGACTCATTCAACCGCTCTCATGTTATCGTATTTCTGCTATCACTAAGAATGCAGCAACACACACGGGAACAGATATAACCCAGTAAGGTACATACATCTTGAACTTTATCACACACACACAAGCTGCTCTCCAAAGTGACTGTACTAATTCGTGCGTTCTTGCTGCCAGTGTGGGACAGAACCATCGATTTCACAGTTAGAAAGGCACTCTCATTCAATGTCACATCTACCCAAATTTTAAATGCAAGCGCTTTTTATTTTTGAGATAAGGTCTTGTTAGGTAGTTCCAGCTGACCTTGTACTGTGTAGCCTGGGCTGGCCTTAAATCAGCACTGATCCTCCTGCCTCAGCCTTCCAAATGCTGGAACCACAGGAGTGTACCACCACACCCGTCCTCATATACCTTTTAGGTACAGTATTTTGTTTGTAGGAATTTATTCAATACACACAGAAATTTTCACAATGGTACTAACCTTGGGATAAGAGCCTTGGACTCCTCAGCAGTCTCTGGGCAAAGGTTGGCCAAACAGGCCAACTCAAACTTATGCAGCTTTTTCTGCAGCAGCAAACTGGTCATAGAAGAAATTATAACAAATTAATGACCAAAAAAATAAATAAATAAAAAATCAACTGAATAAAAGAGATCAAATGCAGTTACATGAGAGAAAGGAAAGTGTCTCGTTTATGGTGTTACATGGAAGCTGAATGATCTTGTGGTAAAAGCATTTCTACCTTTAATGGGGGGCTGCACTGAGACTGGGCAGCCCACAGGAACCAAAGACAACAGTAGTGGCTGCCATACCGCTGCAGGAAGACAACTGAGCCCTCAGGCACCTGGCCACCCTTTCCTTGGGAAATGACTTTGCTGCCCTCTGCTCACCTAACTATTCCTGTCTTACATCCTTTCTTATTATGTTTGTGTAAATTCATGGTGTTAGATGTCCCAAGTCTGCTAGATGTTTTGGCAGGGGGTAATTAATTACCTTTTAAAATGATCTGAAACTAAATGAATACAGCTAACCTTACATTGTAAAAATCTATCGTAAAATGTCTTAAGTGTACTAAAAATGCTCAGATTGTATAAAATAACACTAAATACAAATACTATCTTTGATTCCTGTGCCAAACATACCCCCGGGGTGCCCTGAGCCTACTGAGGTAGGGTGTGGTGGAGCGCTTGTAATCCCAGCACTTGGGAGGCTGAAACTAGGATTACTAGGAGTCCGAGCTGTGTAGTGAGACCCTGCAGAGCCTGTACTAAATACAGAAAAAAACCAAACAAAACCCCAAATACTATCATGGACAGAGTACTTGCACACCATGCACCAGGCCCTAAAGTACAGTCTTTAAAAAATACAAGCTGGTATGGTGGCACATGCCTTCCTCAGCACACAGCAGCCTGAGGCAGGGAGACAGGAGCGTCATGAGCCTCATTTTCATGCATCTATTTCTTACAACAGAGCCCACCTACGATGAACCTCACTTCAGAGAGACCGATGACGGTCTCTAGTGGCAGAACAACCTGCAACGGCAACACATAGCTGGAGCAGCAGTTTTCAAGGTCCAGGCCAGGAACAACTACATAGAAAGATCCTGTCTCGAAGAACCTGCTCTGGGCCAAGGATGTAGCTCAGTGGCACAGTGCCTACCTGGCAAGTACAGGGCCCTGAGTTCGACTCTGGTACCAAAAAAAAAAAAAAAAAAAATCTGTTTTCACACATACCTATAGTCTTAAACTAGCTGGGAAGCTGAAGTGGGCCACCTGATTGAGCCCTGCAGATCTTTTCTGTGTGTGTGGTGTACCAGGGATTGAATCCAGGATGTCGTGCTTGCCAGGCAAGTGTTTATTCCACTGAGCACCCCTGTAGATCAGGATCACTGGGTAACATAAGACCATGTCTCAAAAGAAAAAAAAAAAAAAACCAAAAAACCTATGAGCCAGATACAGTGGTGCATGTTAGTAATCCTAGCACTCTGGGAGGCTGAGGCAGGAACACTGCTGCAAGCTCGAGGCCAGTCTGGGTAATTTAGCCACTACTAAAACTGTATATCAAAATAAAAAATAAAAAAGGGCTCGAGGTGTATCTCAGTATGAAGGGCCTAGGTTCAACCCCTAGCAGTGGGGAAAAAGGAAAAAAAGTAAAAAACTGCAATAATGTATTTAACACAAGCAGTGTATTAGCCACTGTACAAAATTTAGAAAATACAGCGGTGTACACCTGTAATCCCAGCACTTGGAAGGCTGAGACAGGAGGATCACCATGACTTTCAGGCCAGCCTGGGCTACATAAGTGAATTCAAGATCAGACTGTACTGCGTAATGATTCTGTCTTGGGGAAAGAAAAAGGTCATATCATTAGCTAAAGAAAAGTGAGCCGGGGAGATGGCTGAGTAAGCCCTTGCCTGCCAAGTGCAAGAGTCTGAGTTCAATCCCTGGTTCTGCAAAACAAACAACAACAACAACAACAACAAAAACTTCCTGTTTAGGGGCCAGGGAGATGGCTCAGTGGAAGAAGAGCTTCCCTGGCAAGTGCAAGGGCCTGAGTTCAATCCCCAGTTCGGCAAAAAAAAAAAAAAAAAAAAAGAAAGAAAGAAAATTGAAGTTATCACCTCAAAATACCATTCAAAACATTTTGTCTTCATTTTGCAGTGAAAGGGAACAAAACCATAGGAAAACTATGAATTCTACCAATGACTCATACCCCTCGTTCCATTACTTATTTATGATGGACACTGTTTTTTGAGACAGGCTCTCACTGCAGTTCAGGCTCGCCTCAAAGGCTTTGCAACTCAGCCACCGAGTGTTGCGCCGACCACCGAGCACTACACGCAGCTCTGATACTGGATGCTGAACCCAGGGTTTTATGTATGCTAAGCAGGCAGACTACCATTGAACTACATTTCCAACCCTCTTATTCTGAAACCAGTCCTCTCTAAACTACCCGTTCTGGGCTCCAATTTGTGATCCTCCTACCTCAGCCTTCCAAGTAGCCAGGACTATACATGGGACACTACTTCACCTGGCCTGTTATTATTATAGTAACTCATCAAATGGAATCATCACAATATATTTAATTACTGGTAAATGTTTTTATTTATTTTTTTTTAGGGAAGGGTCTACAGGGGGTTCAGGGTCTCACTACTAGATTGGATTCATAGTGATCTGCCTGTTTACAGCCTCCCAAGAGCTGGGATTACAGGCTCAATTCCATCTAAGAGTGGGGGGACAGTGGCACAGGGGCACACAGCAGGCCCAGTGATTGAATCCCCGGCCCCTGCGCCTGCGCCTGCTTGCAGACACTTTAATCTACTGAGCTATTTGGCCAGCCCTTTAATCACTGGTAAACGTTGAGATCAGTGATGGCAAACCTTTAGAGCCTTTACTGATAACAGCTAGAAATGGCACACGAGCCATAGGTTCAGTACCAGTGGTCACCTTTGGCTACTATAAATAGCTCTCCAAGGGCTGGGAATCCAGCTCAGAGTTCAGAGTATTTCCCTGGCTATAATACCCAGCAAGAAAAAAAGGCTGAGGGGTGTACAAAGTAGAGAGCTTGCCTAGCACAGAAGAGGCCCTGGGTTCAATCCATAGCCCAGTACCACAGAAAAAGAGAAAAGCACAGAGCAGAGCCTACTAGTTAAACAGCTTTTGAAAGGGGCTGAGGGCACAGCTCAGTGGTATCGTATGTATCGACTCAGCACACTGGAGGCCTGAGATTCAATCCTAGAACACAAACATAAAATACAGTGGCCACTTTATGCTTATTATTTTATTGTATGTACTGCAGTGTGTGGAGAGATGATGAATGTATGTAACACATTTTAATTTAAAAAAAAAAAATCTCTGTGGGTTTTGTTTTCAGGCAGCCTCACTACGTGGTTCAAGCTGCCTCCAATGCAGTCATCTTCCTGCATGAGCCTTCTGAACACCGTGGTTTGTAGGTATGTACTACCGCGCCTATCCAGTTCTTGGGACTGAACCTAGGGCCTTGAACACCAGGCAAGCGCCAGCTCTGACTACGGCCCTTTCCTAATTTCACACTGTGTCCTGCTAAGTTGCCCAGCCTAGCCCCAAACTTGTAATTCTCCTGCCTCAGTCTCCCCAAGCACCTGGGATTACAACCACGTCCTTCATTATTTCACAGTTCAACTTTTGTGGAATCAGTTTTGTGGGTTTTCAAAAAAATATTAATCCAAATTATTTATCACAGAATTTTCACTATATTATGGGATTTTGCGGTAGTGTACAATGCTATGTACATTTTTATAT